CCTGGAGCCACTTGAGTAGGCAGCACTGCTCAGGACACTTCCATAATGAAAAGGAAAGAAAAGGCAGAAATAGGATTTTGTGTGGCACAGTGTGAAGGAAGGGGCATTATGTGGGGCATGGTATGAAGGTAGGGTCATTGTGTTGGCATGGTGTGAAGGCAGAGGCATTGAATTTTGGTTGTGTGGGGCTTTGACCACAGGTCATGTTGTGTGGCTTGGACAGGGGCCTGTTACTGCTAGTGTGAGTTGAAGAAACTTGAGTTTAAAAACCCAGTATACTATTTAGATTTAACCCAGAGGAACAACCATTAAAATATAAATTGGAAGTTGATCACTAGGTCTCTAGGAGCTGTCTAGTGAACCATAAGTGAAGCTACTGATGCTTCACCTGAGAAGAAATCCTAGAGCCCAGATGTTTCCTTAACTTGACAATTTGTGATGACAAGATTCCAATGAGTTGCCTCTATGCCTGATGCTTAACTCAATATAACTAAATTGTGTTCCTACAAATTCACAGATGATGTTTGAGAAATCTGTTTTTCTCTCTGCACCATTCCCCTCTCTTTTGGTTTTGTGTGCAGTCACTGTCCCTCTCTCTTGAAAAGTCCAGCAATTCCTGCATGTATGTCTCATTAAGCACATTGCACTACAGTGCTGGATGCAATCAGGCCTCAAATCTTCCTTCTTCACACTCTGAGGACAGAAAGACAGGGTCTCTTGCTCATGGCCAGGAGAAGGCAGAGCTTGTTGGCACACTGCTGGAAAGTAAGTGACTGCCATGACAGACAGAAGTGTGGCCCAGAGGCTAAGCCTGGTCACTCCCTGTCACACATAGGGCTGACAAAACTTCAAGAGCCCTAGGCTGCAGGTGGATATTCAAATGGCTATAGCTTCTCAATAAAGCTAATGAAAGCATGGAGTACATGATTTTCTAGCATTTAGGCCACCATCTCCAAGGTTCTGGATCATATTGTTAAAGACCATCTGTGGTGGTTTGAGTGAAAATGGCCCATATAGGCTCAGAGGCAGTGACACTATTAGGAGGTATGGTTTATTGAGGGAACTGTGCCACTGGAGGTGGGCTTTGATATTTTAAGTGCTCAAAACAGGCCCAGTGTCACTCTCTTCCTGCCAATCCGGATGTAGAACTCTCAGCTTCCCCTCTGGCACCACATCGCCAGCTATCATGCTTCCTATCCTGATGACAACAGACTAAACCTCTGAACCTATAAGCAAGCCCCAATTAAATACCTTCCTTTATAAGAGTGGCAGTGGAGTCTCTTCACAGATATAGAAACCCAAAGACACTGTCTTTGGAAGGGGTTTTGTATCTACATTACTTCTCAGACACTAAACAGAGGCAGAGAGAAAGCAAGCAAAGCACCCATCTTCTGCTCCTATACTTTGCTGAGTTGTGAGCAACAGACAGCACCACAGCTTGTCTGTCTCACTGGATCTCGCCTCTGCCAGTGGCTGCAGTTAGCTTCTGCTCCATATCTTGCTCCTTCCCCAGCTCTGAGGGTGCCTGGAAAGTGGGTGATGTAATGTGCTGAGTTGGCCTCTGCCTGAGGCTTTGTCCCTGTGGTTCTTTGACAGGAAGGTGACTGGTGTGGTGAGAAAGAAACATCTCACACACTGTCACCAAGCACTGATTAGGATGATCATCCACTGCCTACGTTTTGTCTACTTTTTCCAGTCACATTCTCCTTTTAGTCTATTCCACACCCACTGTTTCCATAATCTTGCTTTGTTTTGTTTCACATTTTTTAGGTTTTTAATTTCCTTCTATCCCATCCTTCTTTGGCTGTTGCTTTTCCATGCAGAAATGTAACAGTGTGTGAAGATAAGCCTGAAGTGTTGAAACCACAGAGGCAGAGAGTCAAAGGAGACTGTCAAGTACCCCTTATAGATCAGACATAGCCTGTGAGAGTTGACACAATTATATACTTAGGATTTTCACATGTGTCTAGAAAGTATGAATAAACGGGTTATAGGTGTGAAAGTCGGTCCTCAACAGAGTTGGCTTTAGGGACAGATGGTTAGAGAAGGGAGAATTTGGTATAGGAGATGGTCCAAATAAATAACTTGTTGATATGTGATTCCATACCAATTGGCCACAAGCATCCTCCATGGGCTGAACTAAAGTAGAACTCAAGCACTGTAGTCCTGGGATTAAAATGTCATACTCACATCACAGTTCAGCTGCTTATAAGCCAGTGCCATTTAAATTGTTTGCCTCAGCTCATCTCCACACATATAAAATCAAAAGAAATTTAGCACATACTTTATAGACTCAGTAAGAGAGATAGCCATGAAAAGACCCATGTAGTGGTACTGTACATTCTAGCAGTATATGGTTATAATTAGGAATACATATAGTCAATTGAAGATAGGAAAACATTGTGGGTCAACAGAAAGGGTGGGCCAACTAGATAGTTTCACTTTTCTCTAAGACTGAATCTAAATTTATCAGTCATAGCATAAGAGTGAGTCTTGTGGAGACCATAGAGGACAGCCTACCCAAAGGGCCATCATGGGTAAAAATTCCAAGCACATTGAGAGCATTTTATTAAGCTAGTCAGCTAAAGAACATTATAGACTACACACTAAGGCCCACTGGGACTCGCCCCTCTATTAGCTTATCACATCTCAGTCTCTGAGAGCTGAACTTTTCGCATCATTAATACAAACCTTTGATCTTGGCTTATTGTCATGTATTCATTCATCTACAAAATTTTCTTGACCAACAACTATGAATAAATATCCATGACAAATCATAGAGCTATAGCTAGACATGGATCCTATGTCCATGGATCTTACAGGATTAAGGTGGGGGGAGTCTTGTATCAAATAAAACAACTTGAAGAAAAAATCAGAATGTGAAAGTAAAGGCTATAGGATCAGGGAATCTACCTGTTGTATCAAGAATATGTGCTTATCTCTCAGAACAATGTGCTGTACCTGCTTGAGGCAGTTACTGAATCCATAGCCTTAATCACTGTGTGAACACAATGGGCAAATCAAGATATGGCAGGCATATAAGGTAGCAGGGGTGGGGGGTGAGGGGTGAGGGTGGGCAAGTATACTGATCTGCAGAGTCCAGGAAGCTTCCCTTCAGGAATGGATGCTGAAAGTGGACTCTAATTAGGTGGGTGAGACAATGTGACTTACAGGCTTGGAAAGAGCTGTAGTTAAAGGGCACAGAAGACTTTGGGGGACACAAAAGCAGATGTCCTTCTGGACAATAATCCTGGCAGGTATATGAATAGAAAGAGTGATCAGATGGGTCAATTAACAATAATTTTTGGAAGACACAGGAAAGAACCATAGCATCCATAATCCACAGATCAAGTTCAGTAGTTGTAATTATTTGATTAAACTTTGCCCTACTGACAAATCGCAATCTTTCTAATTTCAGCTCTGAGGCCTTCCATCTTTGGGCATTTTCAAAGTCACTTACCTAGGTTTATTTATATGTACCTTTATTTAATCCTCCCATCAGCCTTTTAAGCAGGCACAAAAATCCCAACAGCCTAGTTGAGGAAAAGAAGTATGGAGGAGTTTGACTGACATGTGGCTGAATTGAGATGTGAATTTATGTCTGCATTGTGAACTGAATTATGTCTTCCAATGTTATTATCCTAAATGTGTGACCATGAGCATGACTATATTTGGATATGAAATCTATAGGAAGGTACTTGGGTTAAATGAGGTAATAAAGGTGGAGGCCCTACCTAGCATCATTAGGAGTTCCCTGAAAGAAGATGATCATGAGCCACCTATTTGGCTTTCTTCTCTCTCTTCTTTATGGTTTCATCTCCTTACTCTTTATTCCAACTGGAGCTCAGATAAAAGGTTATGTGAGGACACAAGTGCTATTTCTGCATGACACAACTCATTCCCTGTTGATAGCAGAAAAAGACAAGAACTCAAGTACTCAAACCACCTGATCATGATTTCTAGGTTCTTCTAGTGGCCATATTCTATTCTGAAACTTTCTTAGCCAAAGGAGTGAATGGAGGTTGGAGTCCAGGTGGCACTCTAATCTCAACCCTTCTCCTATATATATCCTCAAGGTTTGTCATGGTATGTCTTTCACATCCCTGGATTCACAACTGTGTACATTGACAATCAGAAATAAACATGTTATAATTTTCCGCAAGACTAAGATGGACATGCCTTAGACAAGTGGAGCTGCCAGGCTTTCCCCCTGGATACAGAGCTGAAGACCAGCTGTGGTGGCATCCAAATGTTGGAGTGTGGAGGTGAAGGTATAGCTTCCTAATTTGATTATTCTCTGGATAAATACCTTGGTACATGATATAGTATCTGAGTCTGGGTCTTATCTAACATCTTATCCTTACTCTGCTTATATTTTGACATAATGGAAACGCCTTTGTCCTTCTTTTATTAATCTGTAAATTTCAAAAAAAAAAAAAAAAAAAAAAAAACTTGTCCTGATCAACCCTGACCTTACTCCAAGAAATCACGAAATATTTAGTAAATAAGACATTGCCATCATGAAAAATAAGCCTAAGAACTTACACTTTAAAATAAGAATTTTAGCACTAAGTCAATGTCTTGGTAAAAGAGAAAAAGAAAGTAAAACCATGCATAAAAGGGGAACTGTTCCCTAGAGACAGTCATGTAGTAATCTGCTTGGTCTCTGGGCTGCATTCCTGTCAATGTATCTCTGTGCAGACATAACATAGGGCTCATCCTTGTTAGCAGTGGCCCACTAGATGTTTATGATGGAGTGGCAGAATGTGGTAGGGTGAATTCACTTCTTCTAAGCACCCTAACCAAATTCCCTTAGTTTCTGTGAAAGCCATCACATTCTACATGCTCCTATCAAAACTGTCAAGCCACACCCCTTTGCAACCTACTATAAAGAACGTATTAGGGAAGGGAGCAGGCAAGCCTATTTTTGAAGTAGGCTTAAAATACAAGAGCATAGGCATTCAGGCAGGCAGAGGAAGGAAGGAGCATGCTGTACCCACCTGCCACTGCTGATGAGGGGCTTATTTCTAAGACACACACAGCACAATGCACACACAATGCAGAGAGAAAACAAAAGACATAGATCACACATTTCAGATGGTTGGTGGACAAAGTTCAGTACATGTCAAGCTTGTTACATCTGAGGTGCACATGGAAAAAAGGGTCTGCATTCTGTTCATCAGATGCTTCCCTCTCATCAGACCTCAGCAAATAAACACATATACACATATATGAAATACCACCGTAAGCTGATGCTGGTCTATGGAGTGAAATGTTGCATGGGAATATGGACACAGCAGTATGGGAAGATGGAGTGAGGAAGGAGAAGGGCTTCCATAGTAGCCATTCATGGCCCCCTGGCTTCTCCATCCATGAGGAGAAGCAGATCTCCAGAACATGATCTGAACTTTTAGAGGTGGAAGAGGGGGTAGAAGGGACTCCTGATGAGGACTCAGGCATCTGCTCCTCAATTATTCCCCCCATATGAGAAGATGGCCTGGTGATCCACACAAGAATCAGAATGACAACAGTTGACTTGTTTTAAAACTAAGACTGCAATCCCAGGAACTCAGACTTTTATTATGGAAGTTATGACATCTTACAATATGCTTCTCATTTTTTTTCTCAACAGCTTCTGTCTTCTCATTTGTCTGCAGAGGACACTACTTTTGAACTTTTCCATGATTCTCTGTCTCATATGGAATCCACAATCACAGTTCATTCATAATTTGGCTTACTCCTTTTGAAAGGAGCAAACCTGGCTAGAATAAATTATCTTGGAAACATGACTTCATGGCATGCCAGAGGAATGATAGGGAGGAGTATTTTTTTTTTTTTTTTTTAAGCTAAGGGTGGTGGGTTGAACAATATGGATGGAAACAGGCAGAGCAGACTGTGCCTATTACCCTCCCAAGCTCCTGGAGCTCCCTCACATAGCCAAGCCCTCCAGATCCAGGCATCCTGCACTCACCATACAGTGTGATGCTGGCATTGGTGTTCCCAAGCTTATTTGTGGCCACACAGGTATAATTCCCATAATCCTTCTCTGAGACATTGAAGAAAGTCAAAGTAGATATGCGTCCTTTGTTCTCAATCCTCACTCCATCCAGGCCAGTGGCTAACCTGCAGTAGGACAAAGGGCTATTTGTCTGGACCTACCAACAAGGGAAGCAGCAGGTATTAAAAGAAGGCAAAGGTGAGTCCTAGAATTACCACAATGATGTCCTATTCAAATGCCTATCTTCTGACTTGCCCAGCCCTTCAACACAAGCCTTAAGTGACATGTCCTCTATTAGGAGGAAAAAGGAATCATCACACTCAAAAGAGAACTCTCTGGAGGCTACCACATCCATGACAAACCCAAAATTCTAAAACAAGGTCAATTCATTTTGTTGACTTCCCAGCTTCCTTCATTTTTTCTTTTTTCTTCTCACTTCTGATTCTAAAAGGAAACTTGGTTACAAGGGAGGTTATAACACATTTTCATCTAGCTTCATTTTTCCCCTGAAGTTATTGCCCTCCTTCTGGTAAGACGCATGATCAATGGGTTCTGCTTCAAAGCTGCCCAGTAGCTTAAAGTTACCTGGTGTCTTCCTTGAACCACTGGAATTCAGCCATAGGGACAGCAGAGGCTTCACAGCTCAAGATGCCCTTCTGACCAACTGAAACACCAGTGTTCTTGGCTTTTGAGATATAGGGAGGGTCTGTGGAAATAAAAGCAAGCAAGCCAAAAAAGGAAAAAAAAAAAAAAAGTGACTCCAGGGAAGAAGACACAGCTGTCCACTGGTGACACACCTCCTCTTGGTAAAAATAACCATTTATTTTAAGAAGATGTTTCATTTAAAAGTTAAGGTGTTATATTTGCCTTTCAGGCCTTCAAATCCATCTGAAATCAGTCATAGTCCTCAATTGCTGAGAGCTCTGAGAGGCCCAGGAAGACTCCAGCTAGAAATGCTATCACAGGTGTTGATTAGCCCAGCAATCTGATAAAACTCTGCCCTTCTGTTGGCAGGCCCTGGAGTGTGGGGCTTTGGGAAAAGGGCGCTGTCACTACTAGATTGTTGGTTTAATCCCTGTCCCCTTTCCCTCAGAAATTCCCTGATGGCAGATCAACTCACAGTTTACAGTGATTTTTACTTTCCGCACATCAGGTGCAGCAACATCATTCAAGGCGCTGCACTCGTACTCCCCGGACTGGTCGCGTTTGATGTCAGAGATTTCCAGGTATTCATCTTCACTCACAAAGCCCTGGCCTTCTGGGAAGAGAGAGATGGGGCAGAAAACAGTGCAGAATTGTTACTCTACAGACAGAAACATCACGGAATGTGAGAATGTCAAGGGAAGAGGCAAAGCCAGGGAATGGGGCTGACAAAGAGATAGAGTGCTACAAAGTAAGACATTCTCTGATGGAGTCTTGAATAAGTGCATTTGCAGGCAAATCATGTAGTGAGGTAGTCCTTCTGTAGCACTGACCACGCCCATTGGGGGGTGGAGCGATGGGCGGAGGTGACCTGAGGAAGGAGGTCGGAGGGGGCCAGGAAGGCGCTCTCTTTCTGGCGTGACTCGGACAGGAGAGGATCGGGTTGAATTTCCTGGTGTTCATCTGTCTAGGTTGTAAGTTATTTCTCCCTGAATAAACATCTATTCGGCCTATTTGTTTATCCTGACCCTTATTTACCGCAATATTTGGACATGCAGTCCTATGTGCTTGCAGGAGACAAATATAGAACACTGCTTGACCTTGCCAAGTCAGGGTAAGACAGCCATTCTATTTCCCTGCTGTTGTTGTGGTCTGTCAAGTTCTCTTGGCCTTAGCCAAATCTGGGTGTACCAACGTCGCTGTGAGACCTAGGGTGACTGTTCAGGTGGCTTGCTGTTTCTGTCCTTGCTGCACCGTTTTGGAAGTTGTCCATCCGCATTTCCTGTCTACTCTAGTATTGTTATTTTCCTTCTCAGGTCTTGATGAGGTTAAAGATTAAACTATCACAACTATTATTCTCTCTTCCTAGTTAGATATATTAGGTACTAGACTTACGTTTTCCAGCTTAGGACAACTCTATTGTAAACTCCATTATGCCCTCACCCTAGGACTAGATATGTAGGTCATTTTGTTCTCGATTTTCCTTTTCTTAGAGCACACTTGTTATTCACTGTTTTGTATATAGTTTTGTATTAAGCCTAAATCTTTTCTTTAGACTAAAAGGGGAATTGTAGTGAGGTAGTCCTTCTGTAGCACTGACCACGCCCATTGGGGGGGTGGAGCGATGGGCGGAGGTGACCTGAGGAAGGAGGTCGGAGGGGGCCAGGAAGGCGCTCTCTTTCTGGCGTGACTCGGACAGGAGAGGATCGGGTTGAATTTCCTGGTGTTCATCTGTCTAGGTTGTAAGTTATTTCTCCCTGAATAAACATCTATTCGGCCTATTTGTTTATCCTGACCCTTATTTACCGCAATAAAATCATGTTAACTTTTGTAGAGCATTTGATAAGAATGAACTATCAATAATTTCTGCAATGATTATTGTAAGAGTTAATTAAGAATGGGCATTATAAATATCCCAGTACATTAATAAAGCTTGACAGTTTAAACAGATCTGTCATGATCAATAATATAATAATACACTGTAAGTAACTTTAGGTTTTTATAAACAATATTGTTTTTCATTGTATATAAATGCCTTTGCATAGAAAATATAAGCTAATCCCTTGTAGTACAGGATAAATGTAATGTATTTCACATTTTAATACAAATAAATTCAAAGTTGCTGGTTCACTTTCAACCTGAGACAGATAATAAATAACCAGCTCGATTGAGCCACTCCACAATGTACATATATATTTTTTAAAATATTATGCTGCACACGATAAATAAATACAATTTTAGTTGTCACTTTAAAATTTAAAAATTTAAACTATAGTGGGGTATACTAGGGAATTGACGGATGAGTTATTTTGTGCAGATGAAGAAAATGCTTGAAAGCTTGTCAAACTAAACATAGTAAGCAATAGCCTGTAGTTGCTGCAACACCCCAAAGATTCCATGCCTGGTTTGGGGGGCATCTTTAAAGTCTCACTCTTATGTACATATAAAGTTAACAGTATGATATCCAAACTATCTGAAGGTTGAAAAAATTGCTTCATTTTAATTTGTTATTATATGTTCTTACTGCAGCCCCAACCCTTCCCTGCACCCCTTCCCATCCTGTACTATGGTTCATTGCAAAGGAAGCAAACTCCATTTTTCTGAGTTCTGTTGGAACACTATGCTCCCCTGAAAACCCAAGCAGTGTGAAGGCCAAAAGGCAGAATCATTTTCCTTTCTCACAGACCTGCTGCTTAATCCTCTTTTCTTAGACCTAGGCAGAACAATAAAAGCTCAGGAAACAGCCATACTTTGCCCCACCACCCCACATGCATATTCTGACCCAATGTATTCTCGCTCAACCAATCTTGTCCACCCTGGCTATGGAGCAGGAAGGTGCTGTGTCTATGAGGAGAATGTGGGGTTGGGGGAGTGATTCTGTTGATTTCACACGCTAGCTGCTCCAGGTCGAGGCTTCGGGGAATTTCTAGTACTTGTGCTGCCCATGTCCTGTTGCTTTTCGATACTTTCTGCCTTCCCCTACTTTATTCTCTAGCTAGAAATAACACTAATCTCTAGATGTTGCTTACTAAAGCCATCCCTAGAAAGTATGATGCCTTAGGAGAATATATTTCCAGGGCCTTATCTATGGAAATTATTAGAGTCACCTCAAGCCAACATGTGAGAGTAGGTTTTTCTGCCCGCCGCCAGTCTTGACCCGCCGCTGTGCCAAAAGTTTCCTGCTTTGCTGAAGAGTCTGCCAGACACACTATGGCCTATGAGCTAAAAATGGAAGATTACAGAAGAACTTCGGGTGACTGGCCAGGCAAAGAGTTGTCTCTGTCATTTCTAGAGTTTATATATTTTCCTTCTGTGGTCTTTGAAGGAGTTGAAGACAGATAGTTATGGTTATAGTTTTCCTTAGTTAGGATTAAAGATAAGTTACATAGACTTTAGACATACAAAAATAGGATAAATAATGAAATATTTTCTTAAATTTTACTAAATGTTAATGGACTAAATATTGTTAACTGTGATTCTTATTTGATAACTGTTATGTGATATATTTTGCTGTGTTAAGGTTAAAACCCTTCTTTTTATTTAGACAGAAAAGAGATGATGGGAGATGTCATTCTGTAAATATGTTTTTCATACTGGTTAATGAATAAAGCATTGTTGGCCAATAGGAAAGCAAGGGAGGAGGGGTCAAGATGGAGAGGCTGGAGAGAGCAGGATGGCTGCTGGCTCTCTGGTAAGAGCCCATGAAAATATTAAATTAACAAAAATGGGTTAATAATTAAGGCAGATCTAGCCTATAAGAAGCATGTACCTGGCCAACAACATTATATCAAATACATAGTCTCTGTGTGTTAATTGGGGCTGGCGTGGCATTGGGACCAGACCAGTAGCGGGAGGAAAAACCCTACTCCTTACACCAACACTTCTGATAGCTCCATTCCTTGTGATTCTGAGAAAATATTGCATTGGCCAATAGAAGTCAGGGCAACTTCACAGGCATGAGTTAGAGAGGTTGCCAAATCCAGCCAAATTAGCATGGAGACTGAGCAATAGGTAAAGAGGAAAAGCCCCCTGAGTGTCTAGAATGGTAGCCCCTATACTTTTAGCCTAGGACTCCAGTACAAGTCTGGAATGCATTGCTCTGAAATTGATCCCTAGGCACAAGAGATCATCTAAGAACAGCTGAAAATGATGGTGGGGAGCATGGGGTCTCCCAAACAAGGTTTAGGATCCCATTCTCTAGAATGCTAGGGTGATATGTCTGGTCAAAGCCGTCTACCTCACAGTTGTCCAGACTGGATAGGTAGGGAGATGTAAGCACCTTCTCCCTTTTTTCTTAATCTGCAGAATCCTGATTTCACTTAGTTTGAGAGTTTCACAAAGATAAATCATATTTCCTTTGTTGAAACTGGGTTGACTGACTGACCCCTGGGCGATTTTTTGAAGAGTAAAACAAGAATTATCTCCACTCTCACTGTTTTGTTTGTTTGTTTGTTTGTTTTGGTAATGAATAAATATGAAAGAATGGGATGTTTGGCTATCTTTGGTAAGAGCCCATTATTCTTTAAAAGAATGTGTTACAGAATGCTTGTGACCATGTAATTAATCCTCAGTGCATTAGCAAAACAGATGAGCTATCTTCAATGGGCCTGGCCGGACTCTCAAGCAGGGCTAGTATTTTCTTCTGCTGGAGAAATAAGAGAGTTCCAGCTTAGGGTATACACTGGGAAGATGCCCAGGAAACACTCTGGTCAAGGTCAAGAGTGCCAGTCAACTCAGGAGAACTGACATTCAGACTGAAGAATGGCTTCACAAGACACGGAAGCCACATGTCTCTGTGTGAGCAAGGCAGACTGGGTACTCTGTGGGGTATTCCTAAGCAACCTCTGGTCTGCAAGGGCTGATTTTCACTTTTGTCAACATTCTTTTCATGGGATGGATATATAACAGCACAAAAGGAGAAAGAATAGATACAATCCATATAAAATGGGCCTCCTTATGATAATACTACCTCATTAAATGAGAAAACAGATTTTGTCAAGTTTGTACTAGAGGGGGGAAGTGCTTCTCAGGCTTTAATTTGTATATAAATTCCTTGGGGACTTAAAAAATTCTATTCTCATTCAGGTGCTTGGAGTGGGTTCCAGGATTCTGAATTTCTCACAAGTGCTCAAGTGCAACTGTGCCGCTGGCCTGAGACCACCCTCTAGCAATGATGACATCAGGCAGCCTCACGTTCTGGTGCTGTCCCAGATAATCACAGGCTCATGACTGACTGTGTCTGGGATGTAGTTTGGATCTTAAATGTTGCCTGACAGCTCATGTATCAGAGTCCTAGTGGACAACCTGATGCCATTGGGAGGTGGCATTTTAAGAGGTGTGATCTAATGGGAGGTTTTAGATGGATGAGGTGTGGCCTTGGAGGTGATAGGGGACCATGACCCTCCCCTGCTTCCTCTCCTGCCTATGAAATGAGTGGTATTGCCCTGGATTATGTTTCCACCATGATGCACTGCCTTGCCACAAGACCACAGTGAAACAACCAGTCATGACCTGAGTTCCCTCTGCCCATGAGGCACAGAATTCCCCTTTCTTGTCATACTCTGAACATCTCACATTCTGTCACAGTGATATGAATCTAGCACAGTCCATGTCATG